CTTATATAGCTATTCGTTCAGCTAAACATGATCGTAGTGATGCAAATAGTCATGCATGTGATTTTGATCGTCTTGTTGGTCTTAAAGAATTTGAAAAATCAGTACGTGATTATACAGGACAAGTTAAACCAATTGTTATTATGACAGTTGATGGTGGTCCAGATGAAAATCCACGTTTTCCTAAAACACTTGTTGCTGCAATAAGAAAATTTCGTAAATATAATTTAGATGCATTATTTGTTCTTACACATGCACCAGGTCAATCAGCATATAATGTTGTTGAACGTCGTATGGCACCATTATCACATGATTTAGCTGGTTTAATATTACCACATGATCATTTTGGTACACATTTAAATGATTCTGGTGTAACAATTAATCCTGAATTAGAACGAACAAATTTTAAAAAAGCAGGTGAAGTATTAGCTGAAGTATGGTGTGGTTCAGTTATTGATGAATATCCTGTTGTTGCTGAATATATTGATCCACCAGTATCAACACAAGAAGAATTACGTATAATTGATGTTAATCTTATTATGAATAATATTTTAGATTGGTAATTATAATGAATATATTATAAATAGAATAAATCTGTTTTTTTTAGTGTATGTGCAGAAGAAGAAGCTGAAGAACCAATTGAACGTCGTATTCGACAAACTGATGAATATTATCAAGAAAGAGTTCGTGCACCACGTATTACAACTGATGGAGAATTATTACGAGATCTACCAAAATATGATCTTGATGAGTATGTATTTAAAATAGAAAAAAATTAGATATTTTTATTTTTTAATTTTTATTTTAGATATTGGTGTGCAACACATGTTCTTCAAACTCAATATACAATTCAAATAGTTCGTTGTAATTCAATAACATGTTGTGGTCCATGGCGTTCAAATTATATTCAAATATTTCCTCATCGTTTTCTTCCAGCACCAATTGCATTTGAACGTACACCACGTGGTATTGCTATGGCTGAACGTGATTATCAAAAAGGTATTTTTTATGGTTCATTAATACAACGTATACAATTTCATGGTGTTGTTATGCAACATACACAAAATGATATATTACCATTTGATTATTGTTGTTCAAGTGTACGAAAAGAATTAAAACGACGTGTTTGTTCAATATGTAAACAATATATACCATCAGCATATAGAATGAAAAATCATTATAAAATTCATCAACAACAATATGCATCAAATTGTCTTGATTATGATGAAATAATGTTTAATAATGAAAATAATATAAATGAAAATGATTATGATGATTCAGAAATTTTAAGTAATCAACGACCATTACCAGCTATATCAGATCCATCAGCTAATGGTGTTGTTATTTTTTCGGATATGTTGGATTGGTTAAAATCTGATTTTGAAGAACTTGATTTAAAAGAACAAGTTATTAAACGAGAAGATAAAAAACCAATGCGTTAAAAAAAAAAAAAAAAAAATAATCATTTTTTTTTTTTTTTGGTTTTTTGGATCTTAAATACTGTGTATAAATATATGTGTAGGTGTTTTCTTTTTTGTTTTGTGTTTATGTCTTTTAATGTTTTTTTTTTTTTCATATTATAAAACATTTAGTGTCAGTTTTTTTTTTTTTTTTTTTGATTGTAGCTGTTTGTTTTTTCATTGAAAAAAAATACATGTATACGAATTGAAATTAAATTATGACTTTTATTTAATCATATAAGAAATTAGTTAATATCACATTTTATCATTGAATACTTCTAATGATAGAGGCGAACAACTATGCAAATTTTTCTGTAATTGTATATGCTATCAAAGTCTATTAATATGACAATTGATTGTTGTCAGAATTCTTGTACATCTCATAGTCAAATCATTATCTATGACAGTCAATTTTTTTATTCTTAAATATATTTATTAAAAATAAGTTTATTATGCCCTTTTAATTTGATATTTGAATCTTCTCGAAAATAACAAAGACATTTTTCACTTTTGAATCGTTAGGCGAAGATATCGAAATGTTTTTATTTTATTTGATATGAAATATGAATTTTAAGTAGTTGGGTACGATAAGGATATGGAACTGTACTAGATTGAATAGTGAATATTATTAGATGTACACTCTTAATATTTTGTCGTATCACCAACATTTATTAGAATATCATATAACTAGTATATGACTTATTAAAACTTGCTGAAAAATCAATTTTGTTTTTATATGTGCTAAGAGTTGTTCTATAGAACGGTATAGAGATCATTTTATTATCCTTTAATTGCATCATACATCATATGAATATCACCGAAAAAACTATAAGTTGGATAAATAAATGCAGCTGGTTTATTATGTTCAAATACAAAATGTCCAATCCAAGAAAAACCATAACCCAACAAAAGTGGAATAATTGTTTTTATAAATGAATGTGTTAATAATTTACCACCAGTAAAATAAATTATTAAAAATAAAATTACTTCAGATAAACCAGTTGATAAATGACGAGAAAATGGAATTATTGAATAAGCAGCTAATCCACCTGCTATCATTGGTATTAAAAGAATTGGTTTTGTTAGAATATAAAAAAGAAAAAAACTTGTACCAATATAATGAAATTGACGAGTCATTTTTTGAGTATGTTCATGTAAATAATATGGATAAAATTCTTCAAATGTTTCATATGGTTTTGTTGATGAAATATTTTTCGATATATAATCATTTAATGGTGAAATATTACGCATTTGTATAGTAATACTCGAAAGAATGATTATTAAAGTACAAAGTAAAACACCATACATTGATGACGTACTTTTTTGATTAACAGATATAATTGATTTAACCATTTTTGAAATCTAAAATAAAAAAAAAAAATTATATTTCGAAGATTTTTTTTTTTAAATAGTTGTTTTGAACAATAACAATATTATGAAATAAATTTTAATATTTTTTTTTTTTTGAATTTATCTCTTAAAGTTATTAGTACAACTAAAACTCTTTTTTTTAACATTTATATTACAATATAAAATTAGAAGACTGTTTCGATTCTTTATCTTTCATATCATGTGAAATGGGTCAAAGTACATTTTAAAAAAAAAACTTAGATCATTTTCTATATATTACATAAATTTGACATAGATATTGCACTAATTCCTAGAAATTCATTTTTTTTTGTAACATATTAAATGAACATTATCTCGCTTGACAAGCGATTAGATATACATAGAGAAATTTCCTTGTCAGTTTTGAGTTTGTTTTTGATTCAAAGCTATGAATCTAAATTTTTTAGATCTAATTCAATAAGAACTAATAAACTTATATCAAAGAGTAAAATATATTATCTAAATTTAATGATGTTTAATAGTTCAATTAGTAAAAATAAAATTATTATCATTTAATATATAGCGCATGGCAAAATGTAACAAAGCATTGAAATATTATTTCGAAACTAATTGAATATTCTTTAAAAAAAAAACAATTCTCTTGAAAGACTTATTTTGAATCACAGAGCACTTCATATTTTTAATGAGCATGTGTTAACTTGAGATTTGATAATTACACAACTGGCCATAAGTCCCTGGATGTGCGATACTCCCTCATGACTTCAACAATTTCCCATGAAATTTTTATCAGAGATAGAGCTTAAAAAACTGTGATCGCAAGCACCAACCCGAGCTCTATCAATTGATATAATATGGAGTTATGATTCAAACATTAGTTTCACCTCTGTTTACGTGTAAATCAATATTCAGTTTTTATGGAAAAACATTCGCGATGCTAGAAGACTTGTTTAATCTCTAAGTTGTTTCTTAGCTCATTAATATTAGTCTACTATTCTCCAGAGATGCCTTTATTGAGCAATAAATGTCCACTGCGTATTCCTGTAACAACTTACGAAACAACCTAAAGATTAAACAAGACCTCTAGTAGCTCGAATGTTTTTCATAAAAACTGTGAATATTGTAAACAGAGGTGAAACTAATGTTTGAATCATAACTCCATACTATATCAGTCGATAGAGCTCGGGTTGGTGCTTGCGATCATAGTTTTTTAAGCTCTGTCTCTGGTAAAAATTTCGTGGAAAATTATTGAAGTTATGAGAGAGTATCGCACATCCAGGAACTTATGGCCAATAGTGTAAATAAAAAAATAATTATATGATAAATTTCGTAGTAATAAAGAAAATTTTTTTTTGTTTTTTTTTTTATTGTACTTATAAACTTATGCTGTGAAAGTCACTTTAGTTTTTGTTAATTAATTAGTAACTTCTTGGACAAATACGATTATTTAATGATTTTACAACAAAATTTTCATAGTAAATTTTGTGAAAAAAAATTAATTTTTATTTAGATTGATCTAAAGATTACAATAAATAATAAACTATAATTATTATTTCATTCAAAAATTTTAAACAAATATTCTTTATTTATTTAATTTTAATTCTAAAGAAGATTTCAAAGCAAAATGATATAGTTTATAATTTAAAAATAATTGTATTTCATTTTGATGAAAATATCACAAGTCTTTTAGTAATTAATCAGTAACATAATTTTTCACTTATATGAATATTTTGTTCTGTTGTTAAGATTAAGTGATAATAACCATGTTTAAGTGTCTTTTTTTATTTACTCATCAAATGAACATGTCTTTAACATATCTGTTATAAAATTCTAGGGTATCTTTTTGTTTTTTTTCTTCAAAAAATGCATATCAAACTCTGAAAAACAAAAGAAAAGGATTTAATCGCTGATAGATTTATTCTTTATGAAAGAAAGTTGATTTTGTTATTCATTTATTGAAGTATAATCAATAATAATTAAATAGCAAATAGACTTAATTTAAAATTTATTAAATTGTACTTTAATAAGTATTATATTTTAAGTTATCTTAATTCTGTATTGTACAATGTTAATTATGATAATCTATTTAGATTAAATTAATTAATAAATATATATATTTTTCTTCATATTTTATTCAATCTATGTAAATATAATTCTATATACATAAATACAAAAAAAAAAGCATAATTTGTTCATTTAAGTCCATGTTCTCATTAATTTTTCAATCATTAACTGTTGTACAAATGTATTCCATTGTCTATGATATTGACTTTTATCAAGTTTATGACAAATAGCATTTCGTCGAAAATATTTTCCACGTTCACAATTTTCAAATAAATTTATTTGTTCATTTGTTTCATCGATAATATAATCTATTGAATCATCATCGTCATTGTTATCATTATTATCATCATCATCATCATTTTCTCCATTTGAAAGATCATCAAAACCAGGTAAAGCTTTTGCAAGACAATATGGAATTGAATCATAAATTTTTTCAAAATCTGGCCATTCAAAATCATAATATGAATCATCAGTTGAAGATGAAAATGATTTATAATTATTAAAACGTATTGATAAACCTCTACTTCTATCTTCACTACGTGTACGATGTTTTCTGCTTATACTTAAACGACGTATAAATCGTGTACATAAATGTTTTATTCGATTATTATTATTCGATTGTAATTGAATTTTTTCTTCATTACATGATAAAGCTCGAGTAGATTTCATCATTTGATTTGTTGTTGATCGTTGAAAATGATGTTCATAATTATCTGATGGATAACTACCAACTACGATATTTTTTCTTTTTTCATCATTAATATTATTTGAATTTTTATCAATAAAATTAATGTTGCGAATACGACGTGGTAATGTTACCGATGACATCAATATGAATTTGTTTATATACTACTATAGTTTTTGGTTAAAGACAAACTAGTATTACATACCTCATTTGAAGTTGTTTCTGTGCTTATATATATATATATGTTTATATTTATGAGGTACTTGTAAAAATAAAATTGCGCATGATCCAATTAATAGAACTAAAAAAAGAAATGAATTTGTATGTGACTAAGTTGCTTTTGTTTTTGATAATATTATCATAGATTAAAGAAGAGAATTGTTTGTGTTTGTTTTATTTGAAACATATATTTATCGTAAATCGTTGTTTTTACTGATGATGGAAAATATTTCCTGTTTCTTTGTTTTTGGTCATATCTCATTATATCTAGGGAGAAAAATATTCTATCTATCAAAGCGGAAACATTCGTTTCATATCGATCTAATGAGGTATGATAAAAATAAAAGAAAAACTAATGAACATCATATACTATAATAGAATATATTTTTGGCAAGTACAAATCAAAGGAAATCTAATAGTTTAGATTCTATTTCATGATGTCCTATTTTTTTTTCTTTTTGTTTATATAATACAATATTTTCGATTGATTAATATTCTATGAATTCATATGTAACTAAAAAAAGAAATTTGAGTTGAAAAAAAAAAGATTTTAATATATAATTCATTTCTGAGTGTAATTACAATAGATTAACCATATATTCTTACATTTGTTTATTTTTTTACAAAACGAACTATCAAACAAATACACGCAAAGTGCAAAAAAAAAGATAAATACAATTATGTCTTTTGTTTTTTCCAAAGTGGTGCAATATCATTATCATCATCATCATCATCATCTTCTTTTTTCTGATTTGTATCTTGTGTTGATGATTGAAAAATAGGTTTTGGTTGAGTTGTTGTATATGCTGGTGCTACCCAATATGGATCTTTTTCACATTTTTCTTGATAACTAAGTAAAATAGCACGAGAATCTTCTTTTTGAGCTGGTGGCTTTTGTAAAGCAATATTCTTAACAATATATGATGATAATGTACCACCATGTACACCAATACGACCACCAGAACCAGCACCACTGACAGGTAAATCTGGTCGTTTTGATTTGACCTAAATAAGACATTCATAAAATCAAAAATTTCTATTAGATTTCTTTATAAAGAGTGACTCATTCTAAAATATGTCAATACTATTTTTAATGAAGTTTTATAGAGTGAATACATTTTTTTTTTTTATAATACAAAAATCTCTGTAACAAATATAAAAGACTTTGTTAAAGTAATTCATTGATATGAAACAAAAAAAAACAACTTTTATTATTATAATTCCGATAATACTGTAGAATTGTTATTTCATTTAGAAATTTTGCATCTATTTCTGATTTGAAAGATAAAGACTATATATATCCGGTGATGTTGAGTACTACCTATCTGTAAACTCAATAGTCTGATACGTTTCATATAACTAAGACTAGTTATATTTCTCGACAGAAAGTCAATCTGACATAGGACTCTTGCACTCTATATACACAAACTAATCGCAAGAGCAAATATATGTCACGACATAGTCAATACACTATCGGACAACTAATTCGAGATAAATAGCTTGTCCAGAATTATTTCATAGCCGGCAGTACGTCAGGGATACATGTCAAAACTGGGTTATCGGAAGTTCGCCAATTGACGAAATTCTAAAGGACGAATTGGCAAAAGTATGATGGACTTGTGCCAATCGTTAAAACAAAAGATCAATTTCAAATTTGTGTCGAACAACTCAATCATTTAATCATTATTATATCCTTTTTGAGTCTATATTTCTTTTTTTTTTTTTTTTATCTTTGAAAAAAGAAAATTTTACATACTGGATCTTCTCGATTTTTCATTCGTATAACAGATAAATTTCTAATTCTATCTTGTCTATATAATGGTAAAGCATGTGGATTAATAATATTCATATTAATAAAAAAATCATTTGCTTTCTTTTGTCGTTCTTCACGATTAGCAAATAATAAAGCTCCTTGTTTTGAACGTATTGTATCATAAAATATTTTAATTATACCATTACTTGTTGTACACATTATTTGATTAAGTTTTGAATGCCATAATGTTTTAATAACACTTGCTGTTTCACTTATTTGTATTTGTCCTTCAGGTTGTAAAAGATTATTTCGATTAAAAAAATAAATAGAACCAATATTTGTTGTATCATTTATATTATCATTTGTTTTTTTTCGTGTTGATGTACCAGTTATTAAAAATCGATCATCAGGTGAAAATGTTACATTTGTCATTGAATATCTATTATGTAAATTATTATATTCTGATATTGATTGTTTAAAATTTCTTATATCCCATAATTTAAGTGTATGATCAGTTGATCGTGATGCTAAATTTCTTCCATCATATGACCAACATAATGATGTTATAGAATTATCTGGTTCATGTGCATGTCTTGATATAAATGTAACATTAACAAATGGTCGACGTCTATCCCATATTTGTATACTTCCATCATCACAACCAGCTGTTATTAAATATTCATTTTGTGATACATGTGTATGATAAGTATTATATGTACATGTTGTTGTTGCTGTTTTTTTACCTTGTTCAGATTTTGTTTTTATACATGATACATGTTCAGTACGACGAATTAATGACCATAAACGAATAGTACCATCATCAGAACATGTCATAAATTCCTATAAAAATAGATTTTTTTTTTTTTTGTTTTAAGAAATGAAAAAAAAATATTTTTTTTCTTACATTTAAATCTTTTGGATTCCAACATGCACGATTTAATGTACTAACATGACCTTTTGTCTTTTGCATATCAATTAAATACATATCACCTCGAACACATTCATACATATTTTTTCCTAAAATAAAAAACAAAACAAATTTTGTCAATGAAATTTCTTTAGAACTAAAATACGGAATGTATATGTGTTCTCTTAAGGGCACCCCCCCCCTTTCCCGGGTTTCTGAAGAACGGCTCGGTGAAAAATGATGAAACTTGCAGGGTAGATAGAACTCGAGTAGTAGAGTAAAAGTTGTCATAAACTCAGAATTTCCAGATGCTTCCTTCTATGAGATATAGGGGGCGCAGGGACCAAAAATGACCTGAAGTTTTCCCTCTCGCAAACAGCCAAAATTCATTTTTGATGGCTGAATTTTTTTTTGTAGCAACTAGGACCAAATCGGTGTGTATGTTTTTATTTTTTCTTTGAAAAATATTGTTTCCTTCGCTTATGAGCACTAAAATACTGAAAGCCCTGTCAAAAAACGTGTTTTTTTGCCATAGGGCAAATTTTGTAAGATCTGCCAAAAACCACCAGAACATTATTTCAAAAAAAAAGAAAAAATATATACACTCCGATTCGGTCCTAGTTGCCACACAAAAAATTTCAGCGCAATCAGCCGAAGTGTTTGAGAGAAAACTTCAATTTTTCTCTAAAAACGTTGATTTTGAGAAAAACGCGAAATAACGTAAAACGACATTTGTTTCGATATTTCGCGTTTTTCATTTTTTTATGCATGGCTATCAATTAATGCAGTTGCAAAGCGGCTAGGAGAATGCATCACTGATCCACACAATACATTTTGATGATGAAATAACTATATTAGTATAGATCATCTACAACACGACAGAGCTATAGAAAGTTGTATTTTTGTATAGGGGATATCTAAAGTCGAGTTTTTTAAGGATCTAAATACACCTACACCCTCAAAATCAGTTGACGCTCTTTATGTTTAACAGAGATGTTCATGGCAGCGCAGCGACGGCTGTAAGTTTTTTAGGAAGAAAAATCAAAAATTCATGAATTAAAACAAAATCTCGACGTTAATATGTGCCATACTGTCAAACTTAACGAATGTAATTGATTAGCAGTAACAGTTCCAGTTGACATCAGTCACTGGCTGGAAAATCAATGCATTCTTTTGAAAACTATCCTGACGGCAGCAGCTTTCCTTGGTTTTGACCGCGGTTCGGCAAATTTTCAGCTGCGATGGACATCTCTGATATTTAATAATGTATAAAGTTCATCGGATTCAAAATTTTCGAACTTGCATCTGATCAAGTCTGAGTTTAGAATCGATCAGACGGAGTTCTAATCATATAATGATTGTAGCAAATCAATACATCAACCTTAAAGTTTTGACTATAAATTTTTATCAACATAAAACTCCATTATTTAAAATCTTTAGAAATGTATAGCAATGATTTAAATTTCTCGCGAAAAACTTTGAAATGGTCGAATTTTTTTATTTTACCATCTCGACTAATAACTTTAGCTTGACAACTACCACTTGCAATTAATAACATATCATTTCCTGGACTAAATTCAATTGAACGTAATTGATGAGATTCACATGGTGATATTGCTCGATAATATTGTAATGTTTTATCCATTGTTGGAAAATCCCACATTTTAAGTTCATAATCAAAACCACCGGATATAAGACGTTCACCATTTGAATCAATTGTTAAACATGAAACTGTTTTTGTGCCATGTTTAAGATCAATTTCATGTGTTAAAGGAAAAAATGGTTGTTCATCATCATCAATTCGATCATCATCTTTTTCAATTTGCTAAAATTAAAAAGCAAAATAATTTGATTTAAGATCACATATATAACATTGTATATGTCTACTGTTTGTATATACACAAATGTTTTAGATTTTAGAATGAAAAATTTTTGTTTTTTTACCTTCGATGAATTGTTATCTTCATCATCACTACTCGTATCTTCATTATCAACAGTTGGTGCAGTAGCAAGATCAATTGATGGACCAAAACCATCATCATCATCATCATTATCGTTTATATTATTATTTGTTGAAGTTTGCATTTTTTTAACAGCTTCATCAGCTTTTAATTTCATTTCTATAATACGTGATTCATTTTCTTCTTTAGCTTTTTCAATTTCATTTGTCCAATCAATTTTTGTTCGTTCTTGTGCACCTAATCGTGCTTGATTCATCATTGCTTGTAAATCAAATGTACGTGCAGTTTTTTTTACTGATGCTG